CGTATAACGTCTTCTATAAGATCTCACGAAGGTCGTGAAATGAAATATATTCTTTTCCAAATTAAAATTAGGTATCCAAGATCTCATACAATTTCTAAATACATGTATTTCCATTCCAGGAGGTACCCATTGATATGGAAGAGCGTGTGGAATACTATTTTCGTAGACTAAATCTTCTATCCACTTACAGATTCGTTCGCAGATTTTATAATAAAGGTAACATGTTATATTTTTCCATATGATCATCATCGTCGTCTATTTCTATAGTGTTGAATATTATCCATCACACCCTTTAATGCTTGTTTTCCCAAAACTCTTCCGAGTGTACCGAGCCCGGGTGCAGAACCAGATAAGAACATACTCATGGCGTATGCTTTTTTATCCTGTGTGGAAGGACCGGTTTTTCCTAACATTCTATTTACGTCACGTATAGCTGCATCCCCTTTTTGACGTCTACGTCTTACTTTCCTTTTCGTTCTACGTCTATGTCTATTAATTATGACAAGCAAATGACAAATGGGATTTTCTTTTTCGAATCGTTCATTTTATTTATTGTACATCAAATATTCAGCTTCCATTCTACTCATTTCACAAAGGTTGATCTTATTTTCTAATCTACTCACATCACTGCTACATTTACCTGAAAAGAATAATAGTTTTCTAAATAATGACAAGTCTTCTACGACTTCTCCTATGAAAAAAAAAGGTGACTGTTAGTAAAATCACCTAATTAAATAAGTAGCGTCATTTGAAAGCACGATGAAACGTCATATCTACATCATCTTCTAACATTTCAATTTCTTCCTTTGTCTTACCGAGTTGAAATAAAAGTTTCCGAAACAATGGCTCTCCTAGTTGTAAACCAATACGAATAAGCTCGTAATCTGTCAGTAACGCTGTAAAAAAATCATGCACAAAGCGAACGTAAATGCAAAAGTTCGTAAATGTGACATATGTTTGCAATTTCTAAAACGCGTTCGATATCCTTTTAAACTAATCCTATACGAGATGCTGCAAGTTTAAATCGTTCTTCTCCCATGATGATTGCTACGTCCACATGATCCTGTAATTCACCTTCACTTAATTCGGCTACAAGAATGAAAACATCTAATTACAACTAGCCTGTGGTTTGGGATGAATGTGAGAACAACAGAGAGATAAGTGAACAGTGATCTCTGGTAAGACCTCCATTAATTCTGAAGGTGTCATAAAAACTGTTGTTGAAACCCCACTCTTTTTTCAAGAATTGAAAAATATCTCTATCCTAAAGCAACAGCAATGATAACGTCAGTGTCCTCCATTCCTAAGAAGTAAGACAAAAGGTATCACTCCATCAGTGCTGTGAGAATGGCAAGATTCTTTTTGTTTGGTTTAAAACCCCACCAGCTGAAGAGATCACAATTCCTTTCTGGACATCTCAGATACATTCTCCCATAAGAATTATCTCCTTTGGACATGGAAAGTGTGGGTGGATTGCTGCATTCGCAGACCATACGATCAATGAAAGCCAGGGTATAGAAGGAGTGACCTTGTTTCCTACACTTGCCGTAATACAAATCGTAATCTTTCATGTCGCAGAATGTGGGGCAATTCTTTTCAGGGCAACGAAGGAAGACATAATCACGATCTTCCTTTTAGGAGGGGCGTTCGGTCATGGCCACATGATGAATCCGGCAGGGGTATGTCACTTTTACACTATTCAACATCTCCTCTAAACTTGAATAATGAAGGGAACCCGTACCTTCAGTGTAAGGAACTGTGGGCTGATGTGGAATTTCTCCCTCTTCTAGAACGTCTACTTCTGTAACTTCTGAGGGATGGGGCTGGGTTGGTTTCACATTAAGGACTGGGTTGACCTGCCGTTCTCTCTTCACTTTCTCTTTCAAATCTTTCAATTCTTTCAGAGGAAGTGGATCTATCTGGATGCTGCACTTGCCTCGCTTGGGTTGATTTGTTTTTGTTGCTGTATTTTACTTGTAAGGATGGTTTCGTTTGGACTCTTGTTTTCCAGACTCCATTCTCTTTTTGATATAGGAAGTCTTGACTGAAGAGTTTGACATTCGGCAAATGTGACTAACGAAACCAGATGCCTTGAATTTATCTTACTGGTTAAGTCCGCCTCTTTGACGTCATTTCATTCTTATTTGTCGATTCCATAGCTTTCGTGACGTAAAATATGTCAATTTCAATCATTGCGTGACATCATTGACGTTAATTATATGCATCGTCCTCTCATTGGTTCATTCCATACAGACGCCCTATTACTACTACTGTCACCATCAACAGTAGAGGCGGCTTTCCACGTCTAGGCTGCTATTCTTCATCAGGGGATGATGTTTCAGTTTTGAATCGCTCTTTGTGCAGCATGATGGTCAGCTATTAGTGGAGGGTCTCGATGTAGTTTAATCGTCAGAGACAGTAGGCACGGTTAAACATAGTTATTGGAAGGGACCGTTTGTAACGGGCATCAACATGACTTAGATAGTTGAGACTGACTGTTTCTTCTTGGGACACATTCGTGAACAACGTTGACATCATACGCGGCCTCGTTGAAATCCAGCTCGTGGATCTCTCACTGTTTCAGTAGACTGAAACACGTCAAAGATGGTTTGGCTGTTAACAGACAGGGGCTTTACTTTCTCGTCAAACCATTAAGCAAGAGCATGGTTATGTCCCTGTGGCAAACAGAATTGGTTTCATGGCCAGCCGCTCTTTATGCATCCTGGATAAACCATCGGCTATTGGGCAGGCAGTATCAGTAATTTGTATTGGAAGAATTCTCCAAACTATAAAGACGTCTCTCCTTCTCCAATAATAGGTGGTAATGCTTTGGCGGTCTTCCCTTCGTCCTAGGTCTTTGCAAAGAAATTTCGTTATATCATCGATAAGGCTTCCCTAAACAACCAAGCGTAGTCAGATTTGTTCATGACGACGATACCTGACCCTCCCTTTTGGCGGTTTCGAGATTACAATATTATCTCGTTTCTTCTGTTAATGTCGTTAATTAATGGATCTCACAAGTGCCTTTAGTGGTCTTGGGCCTTTCTGTTCAATGTAATTCAACGTAATCGACCGGGGTGTTGCCGCGGTGAGTTCTTTCTTAATCATAGCAGATATCTGGCGCGCAGAAGAATAGCGAACTTAAGACCTTGGCACAGTAGGAGTTTCTGGAAGAAAGTTGATTGGTGAGATAATATGTTGAGAATATATTCATCAAAATCAACATCTTTATGTTTAAAATGCTAAACGTAAACCAAAGACTGACGTAACAATCGATCGTGAAGTTTATCTGAAGAATGACGAGGAACCCTCCCCCCCTTCCCTAAAAAAAATAATGCTTCCGATTATGCAAACAAAATGAGTTCGAAAATGTAGACTATCGTTTGATGAAAACGAAACCAGATTGAGAGAATTGGCGGCAAAACATTTGTGTGAATAATGTAAGTAACATGCACAATCATTTCCTTGTCACTTATGAGATCACTGATGAATAAGACTTTGCCTGGTAGGTTTAGACTTGAACTATTCTTCATTAAGTAATCATAAACATGTCAAACTTTTGCTTCTGGTGGTTAGTTTCATTAGTTGTGAATCATATTTCTCAGTTCTCGTACCTCAACTTCAGCAAATGTTAATATGTTATGTTAACTTAAAAATTTCATATGGAAAAACTTACCAGAATTCAGCTAATTTCCCTGGGTTATTCAAATGAAAAGACAGTCACGAAATGCCAAGAAAACGTCCTGTGGTTCGTACGTGTCTTCTTAGGCTCGTTTCAACGGGAAACTGTTTCAATTAACTCATTATTTGATCAGTTTCAGTCCAGTGTTCAAACACATCTATTACGATTGGTTTCTTTTACCCTCTATTACCTAGGACATGTCCCAAAGTTACACTTTGAATGCAAAAGAAACTTCGTGCAATAAAAAGAAAAACCAGATGTATTATGAATTAATGTGGGCCTCACTTTATGTGAGCGACATTTGAAGTTTTTTGGCGCGCGTTGCGATCGAGGCCTTTTCAACATTCTTCAGTTAGGGAACGAAATCATATAAATTTTTCTGATCATTTCTGTCAATAAGAGGCAACTGCAAAAATAAATTCTTCAACCTTATATATCCTCAACGTCTGAGAGGAATTTTTTCATGTTATTGGAGGCAAGCGTGAGCCAAACTACCAAAGCACAAGTTGTATTGGCCTATTGATCTGAGGCACTTACTTCTCAGTCAGAGAAACTTACTACAGATATACTTTCTAAAGGTATTCTCCCGGATGGAAAGTAAGGGGTATAGTTCTAAAACAATTGAATTAATTAGAGTTCGCCTTTCCTCGTTTCAAGTTAGGCACCTTTTCCACAACCCCTGGCTTGCTGGAACAGTAACATATTATAATGATGTGACACGTGTCAAGTTTCTACTGGTCAAGTTCAAATAGCTCTTTGGGCTGCATTTAGTTCTTTGCCCCGTTCACGCAAAACGAGAATTTGCAAATAATTTCAATCGAAATTTGAAACAAAGTTTCAAATAAAAAGTGTTCGGCTCTTGTAACCCGCTTTTGTTTATTAACAATAAGCTCAGAATAGCCTACCCATGGCTAGATTCGTTCACGGGGCTAGGGCGCCAGGGTACGAGGTCCTGGGGTGCGGAAAAACATGGGGTTTGGTGGAAAACGCGGGGTCTGAGTGGAAGACGCTGGGTACTATTTTTTTTTTCACCAAAATATGAATTTTCCTCACTGAAATGAGAAGCCGAAATTTTGTTCGCTCAAACTTCGATGAAAATCAACTCGGCCCGAAACTCGTTTCTCGATCAAGGAATCGTTAGAAAGAAAACCATTCAAGAGCCAACGTGTCGTGCATTTCAGTGCGTTTCAATCGGCGGCAGAGCAGCCTCACCACGTTTTAGTGCCGAAAATATCGCTAATACAGCATAAAAAATTGACAAAAAATTTAATCTCGTGATACTTTCGCGAATCCTTATATCAGCAGCACGCTTGGCGAATCATGTTGTAAAACTTTTTTAATTTCATACATACTGAGAAATTTACAAATTTCCCCACCCTACTCCCTTTTCAGTGGCGCCGGCCATTTCCTCTTTCAGCTCACTCTACGCCTGATGCAAAAAATTCTTTCGCGCATAACTTATCCATCACAAGGCATAAGGTGGCTTTTAGGTGAATGTAACATCTGTGTATTCCGTTTTCACTGCCGGGTGACTTTAACCTCTGTCCCGTCGTCATTTCTCCTGACAATATATACATTTTATCTGAACTTTGTTGTTTTCCAAACCTGTCTGATTGCCATTCACGTGCACCTCATTCCAGTCATTATTCCTCGCACTGACCATTTCGGACTTAGAGTGCGCAAATCATGGCTGTTTTTCTGTTGTTTACAACTCCTTCTTTCCCCTAAGCAATAATAGATCACAGTGCTGAATCAGTTATTTTCAATTGATTCCATTCCTAATAGTCTCTTCGAGCAGCCATCCTCTTTTCTCCAAACGTTCCAGTTGGTACTAAGTACGATAAATGACTGAGAATTGGCGGATTGACTCTCTCAGTAAAACTGCATTTAAAGCAGTTGTAGAAGGCGACCAAAACTTGATGGAACTTGAATATGTACCTGCCGGAAGCCAGAGCGACGCTACCATCAACTGGGCCATAAGGCCACGCGGTGTCCCACGCGGTGGGAGAGTTTTCTGTTCGATTGTATGGAGAACGTTTCTTTGTCCATTACATGTCTGCCTGTTCATACTCTGGTTTTCCTGTTTCACTATGGACACTGAGCATATCTGTAGTTTTTGTTTCCTTGCTTGTTTCTTCAGTATTTACTGCTCTTTTTCCCCGTCATTCTCGTTGGCAATACATCTGCACTCACTTGTGTCCAACCATGAAGAATCAACAGCAGACATCCGGTTGTTATAAACGGCACTAGAAGCAGCCACGCCATGTCGTCGTTAAAGCGGTCATTAAAACTTTATCAAAAAAAAAAAAAAAACAGGAAATAAGAACACAACATAGTGGTTACGGATTAGTTTATAAAACTACCAGCGAAATTATAAGGACTAAATAAAACAGGTTTGAAACTCCTCGTAGTTGATAATGTGATAATGGACCAAAATAATTCAATCAGACAAAAAGGATGCGAAGAGAAGACTACGGTAAAGTTATTTTAAAATAATTAATATAGTTTACAAATATATTGAAACCAATATATTTGTAAATACTGACTGACTGGCCAATTGTCAACGGATAATTAGAGATACAGGTTGCAAATTGGTTAGAAAACAGTTTGCTTCAACAAAGAAGGTTTACAGACTTCATTAAGAAAACAATTTTTCCTTTGAAACCCCAAATAGTTTTGAGTATTGCCTAGGCGTTTGTTGTGAATATTTGAGGAGTTATAAATGGTTTATGGAAGGCACATAGCCTAACTTAATGCGAAGATTCAAAATGGACAAATTCAACAGCGGAAAAGGTCGATTCCTAACGGGAAAAAAACAAAGCGATATGTTTCAAGTATGAACCTCAGCCCGTGGCCTTGGCCTGTTCTCGAGACCAAGAATCAAAGTGTTCTCCCAACACAGCCCCTTCGCCAATTGAATAAATTACAGCTATACCTTAAATGTAGAGAGTTTTGAAAGCACTGTCCGTGTTCAGTGATGAGTTTCAATACTAGAACAGCCCTGCAAGGTTTTGACGGAACCTCAACTTGTTCCGTGTATATTCCTGGAGACTTGTAACTCTTCTTGAATATCAGTTGTCTGCCGATAAAAATCTACAAAAAAACATTTTTAAGTTAGAGTAATAACAGTGAACCTGTGGTTCAGTGAATCAGTCAGTCTGTCAGTCCGACCGTTAGTCCGTTCGTCAGTCAGTCAGTAATCAGTCAGTCACTCAGAGTGTCAATCAACCAGCCAGTCATTCATTCATTCAGTTAGTGCCGGTTAGTCAGTCAGTCAGTCAGTCAGCCAGTCAGTTCCACGGCGTCCATCAGATCGTCATCCGTCAGTCAGTTCGGCAGCCGTTAGTCAGACTGTTAATAAAAAAATCAGTCTGCCAGTTAGTCAGTCAGTCAGTCAGACAGCCAGTCAGTCAGTACGTCCTAAGTCAGTTTCAAGGTAAATTAGTATGCCAGTCAATCTGCCAGTCAGTCCTTGGTCACTTTATAAGTGAATCAGTATGCCAGTCAGTCAGTATGCCGGTCAGTCAGTATGCCGGTCAGTCAGT